ATGTAAGCACCTCGGAAAAACTATCACCACTCATCCAAGTACCAAATATTACAACATTAATATGCAGTTTCGACTCTTTCGAAGCCTTCCTTTTACATTGCAATGAAAATCATAATATTACCACTTTAAGAGTTGGTTGGGATACTCATTATATCGAAGATTACGATGAAAATGAGGTTTTGGTAAATGCACTTTCAAATTTCTTTAAAAATAATAAATCATCATTACGTTCAATTATATTTCCAAAATCATCATCAGAAATTTTAGACAATTTAGTAGAACTTATCAACAAAGAAAGAAATAATAATAATAATAATATAAAAAATATAACTTTTAAAATTTTGGATTCAAATTTTTTAAAAGAAATATAAATAAAAATTAATTATTTTAGATTCAAATAATAAAACTAATTATACACCAGGAACTAGTAGTTTAATACATCCACTTTATTTCTTTATTTATTTCTTTATTTATTTATTTTATGATCCTTTAAAATTGAGAATAAATGTTTTGGTTTTATAAGAAAACAATATACTATTGCTGTTTATATATATAAAAATAAGATTAGTTATTTAAAGAAATAGATATCTTAAAGATTATATATTGCTTTTGTTTTTGTTTTTGTTTTATATATTACCTTTTAATAGCTTATTTCTTTGTTTCTTATAAATTAATCTTTTTTAAATTTTTTTTTTGGGGGCAGGTTTATATTTTTTTATAACATTATTTAAAAAAAAAACTAAATATAATTTTATTTTAACAGATATAAAATCATAATGAATAATTGAAATAAGATTTACTTATATTTAAATTATTTTTAGGAAAAATAAAAGAAAAAGAAAAAGAAAAGGATTCATCACTTAATAAAACTATAATTTTTTATTTTTTTAACTTTATTTTATTTTATTTTATAAAAAGATAATTAATTAATAGAATAACGAGTATAATAGAATATTAGATGTTGATGTCACTAAGTTTAACTATAGTTCTATAATATTGAAATTGACCTAATAAATTTAAAAAACTTCTATAATAAAATCCAATTTCACCTTTAATAGTATTTTTTATAGAGTTCTAAAACTATGGTCCAAGAAAAGTCGCTATTTTCTTTATATGTTCTTCATCTATAACCATTTGAGATCTATCATTGTTGCTCTTGTTTCTACCCGATTGATAGCATTTAATATTTGTCATAAAAAATAAAAAATTAAAAAAATTAAAATTATGATTTTGGTGATATAATTTACCCATTTATTAAAATAACAAATAAAATGCACTACTATAGTTGATCTATAAACAGACAGTATGTGTGGTTAATTTTAAAATAATTAACCATATTTATATAATATTATTGAAAAAAAAAATATAAAAAAAAAAACACATTTCTTTATTTAAAAAAAAAAAAGAATAAAAAAATTAAACTGAAACTACTATAATATTATTTTTATAGAGATGTAGTTATTTTTAAAATACATATAATTATTTTTTAAATTTATAAAGCATCATATGATAACGTATATATAAATTAAACAAAATATATAATATAAATAAATATTAAAAAAAAATTTAATAAATAATCACAAATAGTATTTTTATGTTCCATAATTTTTTTTTTTTTTTTTAATAAATTTTATTTTATTTTATATTATTTTTTTTATTTATTTTTTTTGCACATATCAATCAATTTTAATAAAATATAACTAATAATTTATTATTAATTCGGAGTTCATTTTTTATTAAAGATATTATTGTATTGCTTTTTTTTGAATAAATTTAAAAAATAATTATTTTAAAAATAATCATGATATACACAATCTTTATGAACCATTTTTGGATAATCAACTCGCATTTATTTTTTAATTTTTATAATTTTTATAAATTTTTAATTTATTTTTTTAAATTTTTTCCTTTTTGAAAAATTTTTTTTTTTTTTTTCTTTTCACAAAATTTCATTTTTATATTCATATCATAATATTTTTTTATTACATATTAACAATAATTATATATTTTATAAAAATAAATTATTTAATACCAAATCATAATAATAATAATAATAATAAATAATTTAATACAATCATAATAATAATAATAAAATAATTTAAAAATGGAATCCCCAATTATTTCCTTTTTAAATTATGCTATACAAATTTTATCTTTATTTTCCTTATTATCAATAGTAATTGAGTGCAGAAAAATAAAAAATATTTTAAAGCAACAACAACAACAACAACAACAACAACAACAACAACAACAACAACAACAACAAATTAATAATAATATTGAAGCTAGTGCTTCCATAAATTTGGACTCCTTAGAAAATTCAACACCTACTTCCTCTTCTTCTCATTCCACTTCTTCTCCCTCCTCTTCTTCACCATCATCTCTAGTATCTTCCGTATCTTCTTTTTCTTTACCACCATCATCACCATCAACATCTTCTTCATCATCACTAGAATTACAATCAATAAATATTGTTAAAGATGTTATTGACAAGGTAAACACTGAAGAATTTAAAGAATCAGAATATACATATGGTTATTCTCAAACTCACGTTCACAATCACGTTCACCTTCACGCTCATTTTCACGTTCACGTTCACCTTAACGACAATGGTTATAATTCTGAGGACGATTTCTTCGACAACAATGAATTTAGTAATTTCTCAAGAAAAGAAGAATCTTGTGATACCTCAGACACTGGGGGATATAGTGATTCCTCAGATAATGAAGGATATAAGAGCCTATCAGAAATCGAAAGATGTAGCACATTATCAGAAAATGAAGGATATAGTACCCTATCAGAAATCGAAAGATGTAGCACATTATCAGATAATGAAGGATTTTCTAATCTATCAGACGTTGAAGGTGGTAGTCAAGATAGCCCAATGGAAAGAAGTAAAAGTCCAGTCTACCAAAATGTAAAAGTTAATAAAGTCGAATTATTTGAAGAAAACAATAATGAAAATCTTGTATTTTTAGAATACAACGATGAATATGGTAGATTCATTATCAAAGAAATATCTGGACATAAATATAACAAATATGAAGACCAAAGCTATGGAGACTCCGATGAAGAAACAATTCCAAAAGATATGGATGAAGAAACAATTCCAAAAGATATGGATGAAGAAAGTGAAGCTTCACAAAATTTCAGTGAAGAATGTAAAGGTAATGCTGTCATAGCCAACGGCTTACACGATTCATTTTTCAATGAAAAATTTGCCAATACAACTATTGGAGAAAGTGAAGATTTTGTTAATCATTATCAAATAGTTCCATATGAAAAAGATTTTGGTAAAAGTCAAGAATCAATTGAAGTCGGCTTATCACCAGAGGTTTGCTATTTATTAATCGAATTTCCAGTAAAACCAGAAAGTGAAGAGACTCAATATTCAGAACAATCATCAGATGGCAATGCCAAAATAGAAAAAAATCTTCAAGAGAGTAGCTCAATAATTATTTATAAAACAACTAGCTTTGATAATAATGAAGTCGAAGATGTAGAGGAAGAAAAAGATAATGGAAAGAGTCAACTTAGAGAAACGAAAAAAGCCAATTGCGATGATGAATATGGTCTTGGTTTCTTATTAGAAGAAAATGCCGAGATCCCAGAAAGTATCCTTCTATTAGAATATGTTGTTGAAAAAAGGGAAAATACTTTCGAAGAAGAATTAGAAATCCTTATAGCTGATTTCAATAAATTTCATCTTAACTAGAGGTTTTTACTGTTGAAAAATATAGATAATGCAATATAAAAAAAGAAAAAGAATTATTAAAGTATTTAAATCATTTTGAAAATGTTGTTGTTTTTAAGCTCACCGTCGTTTCACCACCAACACCACTTAGATATTCCAATTTCAGCTACTTTTAGAAAGGGTCTATAGTTTTGGGTCCCATTAGGTTTCTCATTTTAAAGCTCATTATTCCCCGCCACCTCCGCTACAATTCTTTGGATCGTCCAACATTGAATAATATGAAAATTGTTACAAAAATTTATTACCTTCAATATTAATATATAATTAGGATATAATAAGTACTATTCAACCAATAATCAAAATTTTTACATTCAAATATTAAGAAAATTGCAGTTCGTTTTTAGAACTAATTCTCCTCCATTCAAAAACAATTTACAGAATATATTTTAATATTAAAAAATTATTCATTAAAAATAAACCCTATATTAGATCAAATATAATAATTAAAATTAACAAAATTTTGTTAATTTTTGTAACTTATTTGTTTATTATTATGTATAATATTTTATTTTATAAAACTCAAAATTATATTTATGATACTTGTTTTACTCTTAATTAAGAAAAGAAAGTAAAAAATGAACAAGCTATCAGTTAAAAACAATTAAAAAAACCACATCCAGTTTATATTAAAAAATTTACAAAAACTATTTTCTTTTTCTTTTTTTTATTTATTATCTATTAAACAGATAAAAATCATTAATAAACAATCAAATTAATTTACTAAAATACAAAATAAAATTAAACTGCCTTATTATTAGCAAAAATTATCGTTATCGTTATAAAACTTGATCATTACAAAAAAAAAAAAAAAAAAAAAAAAATTTATTACATGTTGAAAAATAAAATTTATTAAATTAACATTATTGCTATAAAAATTTCTTATTCTCTTGAATGTTCTTTATTTTTTTTATTTTCCCCAAATGTAACGCTTAATCTTTTTAATTTACTTGAAAAGCTATTTCTCTTCTTTTTCTTATCAGCAGGAGCTGTTGGTACTGCAAATTGGAAATCTTGATTTGTTTGTTGATTTTCATTATTTTCATTATTATTTAGTGGTGTATAATTTATTGATGGAGATGATAATACTGATTTAATTGGGGTATTTGGTGAATTATTATTACTTGAAATACCACCACTATTAATACTGGTCGTTTCTGATGTCAATGAAGATGAAGAATGAATTTGATACAATGTTGGTTTTCTATCAGTACCGGCACTAAAACTTAATCTAAATCTTTTTATAAAACCTTTTTCTTTAGCTTCACTTGCTGATGGTAATGTTTGATTATTAATATGATGGATTTGATTCATTTCATTTTGATCTGAAGCACCATTAGTTGATTGATTACGATAAATAAGAATTGTGGTTCTTCCAAAGTCATTTACCCAATCTCTAGCCTCTTCCTCGGTTGGTAGACTCCATTTATAAACCTTGTTTGGGATGAAGAATAATACACTATTTGGCGAATCTGGATTAATTTTCATTGAAACATCGTGTAAACTTAAAGTTTTTCTTAATCTATAGAAATACTTTTTATTCACCAATACCTCTTTATTTGTTGCGGTTGAGGTAGCTAAACCTGTATTTATACTATTTGCCAAATCTTCTTTATTATTATTATTACTCTTATTCCTATAGTTACTGAGGTTATTATTTGATGTGGTTAAATTGAATTCTCTATTATGGTGATGATGGTGATGATTATGCTTTGATTCACTGTTTGATTTTGATTTAATTGGTTTAGTTATTAAACAAATATCTGATAATAAAAACAAATAATATTGTTTGTTATTTTTATTCAAAGATTCTAATAAACCCTGTTTGACGAACCATCTACCGCTTTGGATCAAGGAAACATTATCTTTTCTTTGAAGCATGATATCCATACTCATGATATGACTATGTTCGAATGACATTTCCAACTGAGTTTGAATATAGTTGCTTGTTTCTTTTATTAAAGTATAAGCTGTCTTAATATCTTTATATTCAGAGTGAGTAATTGGTGTAATTTGTGCCAACTTTTCAAATACTGATAGATACTTTTGAATTTTATTAATTGGCAAACTTAAAAGTGATGACAAATCATTCTCTTCTTCGGGGAATTGCTGGTTTAATTGATTTCTTATACCTTCCAAAAATATTGTTAAATCTGGGTTTAATTTACACCAATTCAAAATATTTGTAGCAAACTTGAAATTGAACGTATAGATACCATATTGATTCTTTATCTGTGAAATATTCTTTACAATAAATTGAGTTATCGAATTGATTTGATTTGAACTATTTTTAGCATTGATCGAAACATTTGTAAACTCTTCATTATTATTTAACAATATTTTCTCTTGAGGTTGATCTCTTTCAGTTTCAAAATTCATAATAAAAAATGGTGATCTTGAAATCTCTGAAACAATCTTTAGCAATTCGTTGTGAATCTCTGTTAATGACTCTATATTTGAAAAAATTGAACCAATCTCCTTATAGTTTAACAATGGCTTGTTGATTCTAAATTTCGATTGAATTGGTAATAAATATGACTTTAATACTTGATCTAATTGTCTCTTGTATGTAAATTCATTTTCGATCAACTGTGAAAATAATTTAATCCATATTTTTTTATTAACCTGGCTTGTTGAGCTATTATTTAACTTCCAGTTCGATTGAAATACTCTATATCTTCTTCTTACCAACCAACCTCTTGTTCTAGCTTGTAGTTTAATTAAAATTTCTAATTCTAAATTGTTTGTAATTAAATTTGATTCTTTTTGTTGTTGCTCTTGTTGATTAAATTTAAATAATTTTGGTACATGTGGATATTCTTTTATATATGGCTTCACATTAACAATACAGCATCCTGTTACTAAATTATTGCAGTCTATTACACCAATAGTAATTGAATGTTTTTTTAATTTTATAATATTACAACATATTATTTCAATTAAATTATTATTTTGATTTATTTGAGTTTGTTGAGATAATTGATTGCTATAATAATAATAATAATAAAATATTTAATTAATATGTATAGAAAGTTTATATAATTAAAGTAAATTTCAAACTTACATTTTAACAATATTTGATTGATAAACTACCCAAACTTTTTGAACTGTTGAATCGACACCAAATTCCTTCCAACCATTTGGGAATTGAGTTTGATTTAATTTAAGTACACCTTCTTTATCATATTGTTGTAATGGTATTGATTCATCTAATTGTAACTGGGCCTGTGATTGTGATTGTTGTAAAGGCTGTAGTTGTTGTTGACTAGTACTTAATAAATTTGCAGTATTTACTCTTAATAATTTATTAAATGATTGTGGCCTCTTTCTTTCTTTAAATATTGAAATTGGGTTTGTAGTTACACAAGAATCAAAATTTGAACTTAATAATTTACCAACAATTTTTGATTTTTGTTGTTGTTGTTGTTGTGATTGTGATTGATGTAACTGTTGTGATGACTGCGATTGTTGTAATGGTGATGGTTGCTGTGGTTGATAAGCGCTACTTGTTGACAATAAATTACTACTACTACTTTTATTTGTCATATAACTATTATTACTAACACTAATTTCACATATACTATTATTACTAATATTTAATTTTTCTATATCTATACAAGAATTATTATTATTACCATTATTATTATTACTATTACCATTATTATTATTTATACTATTGCTATTATTAAAAGATGATTGTTTTTTTAATGGTTGTTCTGATGATTCTAATTGATCTTTAATTGATTCTAAAATATTTACAATATCTGAAAACTTTGGTCTATTTGTATTTTTATATGAACAACACTTTAAACAGAGATCATAAAATTGCACTGGACAATCATTTGGTGAAGGTATATGTGAATTTAATTCTTCTATGTTAATATCGAAACCATTGTTTGCATTTCTAACCCAATAGTCTTTACCTGGCCTTTTCAGTGTTATCAATTCAGACATTAAAATGCCAAAGGAAAAAACATCTATACTCCAATCGTATTTTTGTTGTAGTAATACCTCTGGTGCCATGAAGCTTGGTGTACCACAAATGGACATTCTTCGTAACCTATAATGAGCGGCTCTACCATTACCATTGAATGCATAAGGGCCTTCAGTCTGCACCACTTCAGGATCTGATTCTTCTTCGCTAGAGCTACTGTCTGAGCCGCTGCTATACTGACTGCCAATACGAGCAAAACCAAAATCGCATAACTTTATCTGATTTCTAGAGATATCCAATAAAATATTCTTTGACTTTAAATCTCTATGCAATATATTCTTTGAGTGTAAAAATAGGAATGTTTTAGCTACACCCAGTGCAATGTTGACACGTGATATCCATCTTGGTGCCTTTGGAGTTGATTTGAGGTATCTTCTTAAATCCAATCCTTCTATAAACTCTGTAATTAAATAAAAACCTGTTTCATGCCTACATGCACCAAAAAAATGAACTACCAATGGATGTCTAATATACCTTAACGCTTTAACTTCTCTTTCTGTATATTTACAATACTCGGCATCATCAAACATTGTTATCTTTTTTATTGCTACATCTACACCCAAATAACTACCTCTGTGAACACACCCAAAATTTCCTTTACCAATTAATTCTTTAAATAACAAATCTTCATATTCTATATTCCATAATGATGAACTTGGTAATCCACCAACCATTTTATATTTGTTATTTTATTTATTATTACTAATATTAGGATTATATATATATAATTTTTTATTATTTACTATTACAATTATTACAACTATTATTTTTTACTTTACAAATTTATTATTATTATTATTTTTCTGTTTAATTTTTTTTTTTTTTTGATTATTTTTTATAATTTTTTTTTTTATTATAATATAAAAATATAAAAAAATAAAATTTTTATAATAATTTTTTATTTATTTCTTATATAAAAAAAAAAAAAATAGTTATTTTAAAATTATCCTTTTTTTTTCCTTTTTGTTATTTTTGCTACCAAAGTGATAAAGGGTTACAATAAAAAAAAAAAAAAAAAAAAGAAAAAAAAAAAACAATATTAATATTACACAAAATTATAAAAATACAAATTAATATATGAGAAAGATGTTAAATTTAGATTTTAACACACCAAAAAAAAAAAAATCAAATGCATGAATAAATAAAAAAAAAAACAAATAAATAAATTAACAATTATTATTTAAAAATCACACGCACACTTTTAATAAACACAAAAACAAAACCAAAACCAATCAAATATAAAAATCCTTTATTCATTTACTATAAAATATAAAGTAATAATATTTCATATGATAGTGATGGCTTTTTGCTAAAATAATTTAATAAAATAAAAAAAAGAAAAAAAAAATTAAAAAAAAAATTAAAAAAAAAAAAGAAAAAAAAAGAAAATAAAAATTTAAAAAAATTAAAAATAATAATCCCAAAGATGGATTAGAGCGGTTTCCTATTAAATATTTAGAGTGGAGCCATTTGTTTATTTATTTGCTTATATAATAATACTCTATATCTTCATTGTTTTTGTGTAAACACCCATCACCATCCAAACACCACACACATACAACCCACTGTAGATACACAATAGATTTATTAGGAAAAAAAAAAAAAAAACAAAAGAAATAACTAAAATGTTAAATATATAATTTTTTAAAATTTTTCTTATTCTCTTTTTTTTTACTTTTTTTTTTTTTTTAATATTTTTATTTTTTAGTTTTATTTATTTAGGTTAAATAAGTTACTTCACCAGTTTCAATCATAAATTTGATAATTTGACAATTTTTCATGTGTGGATGCTTTTTGTCTAATAAATGATAGAAAAAGTCACAGTGGCCAACAACAGCAATATGGGATTCTGGTCTACTTAGAAGGTATTCTTTAAAATCTTGGACTCTTTTAGCAATTACTTCCTCTGGTTCTTTGAATGGACTCTTTTTAAAGTACTCTTCATGGTCAATGGTAAAGTCTGATTTAATCTCTTCAGGAAGATACCACCAACGCTCTTCAATAGTGCTAAAGTCAAACTCTGGGAACTCTGTTTTAACAATTGATATTGGTCTACCGTTGTCATCACTTGTAGTCAATGTTTCTCTATGCAAAGGACATACAACACAATTAATCCCTTTATTTTTAATTAGCTTGCTTAATCCTCTTCTGGTAGTATCCAAAGCTCTTGTCATTGGTGTTGTAATTACGACTTGAATATTTTGTAGATGAATTTCTGCATTATCTGCCAATGCACTTGCTTGACCTTCACCAATTTCTGTTAATCTTGCATCAAATAAAAATGGGTCAACTCTATTATTTGCTAAAAATGCAACATTAAAAGTTGATTGACCCATGTCTAATAATATAAATTGT